ATTTTTCCGAAAAAAAGATTTTCGTGTATCACAGCACTGTTCAGTCGTTTGTTTCAGGCGTTTTGTTAAAAGAGCGTAACATCACGGTAGATTTCCTGTATGTATCACCGGCTCTTCGTTGTATTCAAACTGCTCAGGGCATTTTGAAAGGTATCCACGTTTCCCTCTTTTCTGACAACTTCCTCCAATATGTTTCGTCGCCGAATCAAAGGCATTGTTCTTAATCTATGTAAGCTTCATCCCAGTGACTGCTCACGTATACACAGACCTGCAGTTGCAGTGCCGCATTTTAGAAGAATGACCACCGGGCATCAGTGAGTAGCCTAGAGAGACCTGCAACATTAACTGTAGCCGCCTGTGGTATACACTGTGATTCTGTTGAGCTGTACTGATTTATTGCGGTAAAATACGGTGGTAGAGGGTGGGAGGGGGAGAGGAGGAGGTGACAAAATGGAGGGTGGAAGGGCGAGGTTGGAAATGCATTAACCCGTGCATTTTTGTACGGGACTCCCTTCCGGATATGTTATGACTGGCATGCCACTGAAATGCCAACTGAAAAATCATAATGAATCGTGAGAAGAAACTGTTATTTTTTTTTTTTTGAAGAAGCTTTAAGCACCCTTTCATTTCATCGTCTGTTTCATAATCAGTTGACGGCCTCATATTCCAGAAAGACGTAGAGGCTCTTTCTCGTGCAGTTATTTTCAAATTTTCAGGCTTAGGCAACTCGGAATTAGAACTGCTCGTGGAGCCAGGATTGTTTCAGTGGATGCGCTGGTGTAAAAATCGTATGCCTGAATTTCTAAGTATCAATGAATTGGTGAAGGCTGATTTTCCTGTTAGCACAACATACAAGCCTTTGTATAATGCGCAAAATTATGATTTACATGAGACACTGGAGGAATATTTTCAACGATCCTATGCCCTCATTAAAAATATTTTGGCGCGACATTCTGAAGGTATGTGGAAGAACATAGTGAAAATAATGCACAGCGAAGGTTGTTCGAGTTGCAAACATGTTCAGTTCGTCTTCATCAAATCGCTGTTGGAGCTAAGTGGACGGAAACTAACTCTTCCAATGGTATGTATGGCACGCGGTTGTCCGTACTTACTTGGTAATTCAAATGGCTACTGGTTCACCATCGAATCGTACTCGAAACATTCTTCAGTAGTGTAGCTGACACCTCTCTATTCTCATTGCTATCGACGATCGAACGATAGCTCAGATAAAGATTAGACACCAACATGGGACACCGGTTTTTCTGCGCAAATGTGAACTACCAAAATACAGTTGAGCATAGGTTATCATCATCATCGATAAGTATGGTATTGCTTTGTTGTTGTTGCTTTATTAGCACATTAACGCTACGGTTATTAGCAGTGTATTTGGGACATTCTAATCAAATTTCGTTGATGGTCCTTCCGCAGTTTTGCATTTCATGGTTGTTTCGGCCATTGCTACATCGCTTGCTGATTAGCCTTCTGGCAGTTCTGATGTTTCTTCATCTCCTGAACGGATTTCATTCCCAGTGGTTTTCCCGACTGATGCCTTCTGGCAAGATTTCAGCCACATGGAGATTCAGCGGAGTGTGTTCAGCATCACTACCTCGTCCGCATACGTTGTCATTCCCAGATCACGTAACCCAGATCACGTAACTTACCGTCTGGGGGCAGCAGTTTGTCTGTGTTCGTGCCAGTGCAATAGTGAATACTCGGGCCACTGCACTATTACAAAATCAAACGATTATGTTTCCCCTCTACCATTATATTCATTCATTTATTAAGATGAAGTACCATTTGCTTCTGTAATTTTAGGAACTATTTTATGTGTTGCACATGCTGGTTCATTGAGTACTTTAAGCCAGCAACTTTGTGGAAAAGAACCACTCATTGCGGACGATTTTTCTCGCTTTTTAAGAGGAATTTCATATCTGAGTTGTGAAGAGGTTCAGGAACAAGACAATCGTTCATGGGAAAGTGCTGGTTCACCTATTCCAAAATTATCCACTTCCGGACTTGATCGCTGCTAGGAAGCAAGTTTTTCACTTCTGCAAATTTCTACCTAATCCGTTGCAGATTAGCACATCTTTAAATATCTGATGTAGACAAATGCTTCGAAGAAAGACTGTAAGCAGTGCTGTAGCCAAAATTTTTTCGAAGAGGGCAAATTTTTAATTGGAATTGTAAGAGCGTGAGATATACGTTTCTTTTTT